TTAAAATGATTGAATGCTTTGATGTAGATAAAAAGAACAATATCCTGATTAGGTCGGAAGGCAGATAATACCTTCAGGGGAAGGGTGGACTTGGGCCCAAATAAAGCCTTGTCCTTGTTCAACACTAGAAAAGGTCTCCTTACAGGATATGACTGCCAACTCAGAGACTCTCCTGGCAGAGGTGATAGCCATAAGAAAAGCCACCTTTATGAATAGGGTCAAACAAGGGAACATCCCTGATTGGTTGAATGGTGGCTTCTGAAGAGTCTAGAGAACCAGATTGATATCCCAAGAGGTTTCAGGGGAATGAACGGGGAGTGATGTGTGCTGCTACCTGAGCAAAGGCCTTAACTAAAGAATGAAAAGCCAAAGGTCTCTAAAGCAGAATGGCCAAGACCAAGATTTGTCCCCTAAGGGGGGGGGGGGGTACTTGAGTTGCGGAACTTTCATCCTAAAAAGTAGATTCACCAAATGTGACGTTAGACTTTACGAGAAGTTGACTTCCTAGGCTTCAAGAGGGTAGAGATGACAGAATCTGAAATGCCTTTGTCTCTCAGGGCAGTGGCTCCAACAACCAGCCAATATCGAAAAGGGAGGATGAAACATTGCCTCCTGAGATGGGGACCCACAGAGCATCTGCAAGGAACTAGATTATGCCCCATGTGCCATATATCAAGTACCATGTCCTCCTGGGCCAATACGGTGCAATTAGAATCCCTGGAATATCCTCCCTCTCAATATTACAAAGTAGGCGAGGAAAAATCTGGAGTGGTGGAAAAGCATAGATTGGGTAAAAACTGATCCTAGCATCCACTGCGAAGGTCCAAGGGTTGTTTTATGTGGCAACAAACCTGTCTAGTTTGTTGTGGAACCTGGATGCTAGGAGATCCAGACTTGGAGTTCCCTACTGTTGCAAAGGGCTAGAAATAGAGCCCATTCCCCTGAATGAAGACGTTGACTACTGAGAAAGTTCAGTTGCCAGTTTTCCACGCCAAGATGTCGACTGCGAACAGAGCTGGAACATGATATTCCCTGTACAGATGAGGAGTTCAGGACTTCTTCCCATCTTGACAGGCTGACATCAGTCATAAGGAACATTAGACTGTGGAGGAAAAGGCTTTCCTAACTCCAGCACCAAAATGAAAAACCACTATGCCAGGGAGAGTCTGGCCTTGGGGTTCAAATGCACCAGGCAGACCAAGGACTGAGTTTTTGTCCCACGAGGTCAGAAAGTTGAGTTGCAACTGTCTGGAATGAAACTAGTCGTATAGCAAGGCCTTGTAGGAGGCCATAATGAGACCCAAGACCCTCATGAAAGCATGAATTAATGGGCTTCATTTTTGCCTAAATGGCTATGGCAAAAGAACAAATGGGTAGATTTTGTCTCAGAGCAGAAAAGGTCCTAGACAAAATCGTAACTAGAATTAGACTTAAGTACTCCAATCTGTAAGACGGGTCCAGACATGACTTCTGGAGGCTGAGGATCCAACCAAAGCTCTGAAAAAACCTGTTGGATGTTGGCTGACAGGAAAACTGATCCTTAACCAGACGATTGTCCAGGTACCCACAGCGTAAATCCCCTGAGAATAAAGCCAAGTCAAAACTAGGTCATGCACCATTTGGAAACCCCAGGGGACCATGGACAGGCCAATTAAAAGGACAACAAACTGGTGATACTGATTTCCTACCACAAAATGCAGAAGGTGTTGAAGAGATGGAAAAATGGGAATATAGAGATCATCCGGATGTCTATGGAGTCCAGAATATCTCCTGGAAGGTGAAAGGCAAGCAATGACCCACCTGACATTTTCCCTGCAAATTTCTAAACCCGTAGAAACAAGTTGAGAGTCTGCAGATATTCAGTAGAATGGACCAAACTATTCTGTTTGGTTTAGAAAGCAATTCGAGTAGAAACCTTGAAAGCATTCTCTTTGTTGGTACCGGGGTAATGGCCCCCTGATTCAACAGCTGTTGGACAGCAGAAGGCAGATTCACACACTGTGATAGAAAAAAGGGACAACTTGGGGAAACATAAATTAGGGAGGAGATAGAGTGATAAACTCCAGTTTATATCCCCTGTAAACAACACTAGTTCGAGCATCTGAGATATTCTGGGACCACAAGGTCAACTGGCACCCCTCCACTTTGAGAATTTGGAAGCACCCCATCACTGTGATGAGGTCTTGGCTGGTTTGAAGGACCATGTTTTCTTGCAAAATTATGTTCCTGACTTAGACTTATTAGATTGGAAGGCTGAAAAGGGATGAATGTCAGGAGTGGAGGACCTACTAGTAGGGAACACGTCTTTCTCTTTTGGGGGAGAAGAATTCATTCTTATCCTAAAAATTTGAAGTGTAGCTGCCAAAAAATTCACGCTGTAGCAGATGGCTGAAGGCCAAAGTTCCAGCTGACCATAGACTGTGAGGGATCCATAGCATAGCACTAGGGTTACGGGCGGGGTGGACTGACAACTCATGGGGCCCCTGGGCAATAGGGGATCATGGGGCCCCTGTGTCCTTGCCCAAACTCAAAAAAGCCTATAAAAAAGGTACCAGGGACATCTCATGGGGCCCCTTACTGACCCCGGGCCCTCGGGCAGTGCCCAAGTTTCCAAATGGTCAGTCTGCCCCTGGTTACGGTCCATAGGCTTAGTCCAGACAGCAACGGTCTGACAGATTGCCATAGAGATGACTGCAGGTCGAATAGCGGGGCCCGCAAGGGGAAAGATATCCTGGAAGTAGGCAATTAGCTGATTGCTGCACATATATACGAAATCCTAGATAAACACTACCATAAACAAACCGCTTTCCCGAACGCTCGACTTTCTCCCGTGCTGAGGAACCGAGCGGCTGATGTAAATGGAGGAGAGTGGGCTGCGCGCTTGTTTTCTTCGATGTTAATCATGATCGTTTTAGATGATGAATATATTGCACAGCCAGAGATCTGGGTGTACGGGGGAACCTGCCTCAACGTCAATATCACAAAGTTCTATATACTGTATATACGTAAAAAAAAAAAATATTTCTGAATGTTTTCCTTATTGTGGACAACAAGCAGCTGGAATCCATTTTAGTGCTTTACAAATCCCAGGCATGCTCTCTCCCTCCTGCTGCAATAATGCACCTTTTTTTTTTTTTCTGTGATATTTTTGAAAAATTAAGTTTTCATTCAAAGTGAAAAAACGCTTTATGCGTCAGACGTTTATTCATGAAATCAAAGAAATGTTCAGTTTTTTATTTAGTACTTGAAGATAAACGCTGGATAAGTATCCAAAAATGACAAAAATTAATTCATTAACCCCGTCACGCCTGAGGGTAAAACAAATCTTCATGCCCAAGCAAAATTTTGCAACTTTTGAAATGTGTTCGTAAAACCGTCCGTATCGTCACAACTACTTTGTACATCCAGAAGGATTATACCGCGGTTTTCTTTCAGGACAAACTGAGCTTTTTATTTGGTGGTAAATGGTAAGGGATATCTCCTTTTTTTATTTTTTTATTATCCAAGGAAAACTGGCCCGAAATAGTAAAAAAAAATAATTTTATTAAATTTAGTTGTGTATTTCTTGTTATGACCATAACCTACCACCAAAGAATGAACAAATTCTCCTGTTGCTGACGATCGCAGCGATACCACACGTGTGTATGTTGTTGTTTGTACCCGTAGTGCGACCCAGAAACAATAATGCGCATTTGTACTACCTACAACAGGGACACTGATGTTCATTTAAAAAAAAAAAAAATCCTGACCTTTGACCCTGACCCTTTACCCTGACCTTGATCTTTGACCCACTGACGATCAAACCTTGATCTAAGTATTTTTTCTTTATTATTTCTTTAATTTTTTTTATTTTAAAAAAAAATATATTGTTTTTTTATTTAAAAAAAAAAAAAAAAAAAAAATATATATATATATATATATTTTTTTTTTATTTAAAAAAAAAATATATATATTTTTTTTTGGTCCTCCCCCCACTTTTTGTTTTTCTCCCTTGGGGTTTTTTTGTACCTTTTTGTTGTTTTCTGTTCACTCTGTTGGGCTTTGATCCTGCCCCTGCGAGGGCATCTGTTGTTTGTATTATTATGCAGTATTTATAAAGCGCCATCAGTTCGCTTAGCGCTGTATTATGTATGTTTTCACCAAATTAATATGTTTAAAATAAAAAAAAGATAAAAAAAAAAAAATATTTTTAAAACATTTTTTTTTAAATGTTTTAATGCACCCTGTGGTACCTTGAGGTTTCTTTAGGGGTGCCTTGGCAAAATGTCTAAAAAAAAAAAAAAATTGCCCAAAACTTGTATACAAGCCGGCCTTTTAGTTCTACAAAGCCACAGGTTTTCATTGTGTACCATTACGACCTTCTAGCTGCCGGCGTCCTGACAACCAATGACATCATCAGTTGATAAGGAAGATGTCTGCTGCCAGCACAGCATCCTAGTTTGACCCTCCCCTGCCCCTCTCTCCGTTAGTGTTGGGGTTACTTTAGCTCAGTGATGGAGAAAAACTGAGGGAGAGGAGAAACATCGGAATACTAGTCAGTACCAGTGTACAAGAGTATATTTGCTTTGGAAGAATAAATCGCCTCTAATGTTGGGTGTCCTACATGTGTGGATGTTGCTGTTAGAATAGTTTTTCACATTTTAGAATGGGGTGCCTCAAAACTGTCCATAATTTTTAGAGGGTGCCTCGGGACTGTCCAAAATTTTAGAGGGTCCTTCGGGACTGTCCATCATTTTAAAGGGTGCCTCGGAACTTTCCATAATTTTAAAGGGTGCTTCGGGACTGTCCATAATTTTAAAGAGTGCTTCGGGACTGTCCATAATTTTAGAGGGTGCCTCAGGACTGTCCATCATTTTAAAGGGTGCCTCGGGACTGTCCATCATTTTAAAGGGTGCCTCGGGACTGTCCATCATTTTTAAAGGGTGCCTCGGGACTGTCCATTTTAAAGGGTGCTTCGGGACTGTCCATCATTTTAAAGGGTGCCTCGGGACTATCCATAATTTTTAAAGGGTGCCTCGGGACTGTCCATTTTAAAGGGTGCTTCGGGACTGTCCATAATTTTAGAGGGTGCCTCGGGACTGTCCATAATTTTAAAGGGTGCTTCGGGACTGTCCATAATTTTAAAGGGTGCCTCAGGACTGTCCATCATTTTAAAGGGTGCCTCGGGTCTGTCCATAATTTTAGAGGGTGCCTCGGAACTTTCCATAATTTTAAAGAGTGCTTCGGGACTGTCCATAATTTTAGAGGGTGCCTCGGGACTGTCCATCATTTTAAAGGGTGCCTCAGGACTGTCCATCATTTTAAAGGGTGCCTCGGGACTGTCCATCATTTTAAAGGGTGCCTCGGGACTGTCCATCATTTTAAAGGGTGCCTCGGGACTGTCCATTTAAAGGGTGCTTCGGGACTGTCCATCATTTTAAAGGGTGCCTCGGGACTGTCCATTTTAAAGGGTGCTTCGGGACTGTCCATAATTTTAAAGGGTGCTTCGGGACTGTCCATCATTTTAAAGGGTGCCTCGGGACTGTCCATAATTTTTAAAGGGTGCCTCGGGACTGTCCATTTTAAAGGGTGCTTCGGGACTGTCCATAATTTTAGAGGGTGCCTCGGGACTGTCCATAATTTTAAAGGGTGCTTCGGGACTGTCCATCATTTTAAAGGGTGCCTCAGGACTGTCCATCATTTTAAAGGGTGCTTCAGGACTGTGCATAATTTTAAAGAGTGCTTCGGGACTGTCCATAATTTTTAAAGAGTGCTTCGGGACTGTCCATAATTTTAAAGAGTGCTTCGGGACTGTCCATAATTTTAGAGGGTGCCTCGGGACTGTCCATCATTTTAAAGGGTGCCTCGGGACTGTCCATTTTAAAGGGTGCTTCGGGACTGTCCATCATTTTAAAGGGTGCCTTGGGACTGTCCATTTTAAAGGGTGCTTCGGGACTGTCCATAATTTTTAAAGGGTGCTTCGGGACTGTCCATAATTTTAGAGGGTGCCTCAGGACTGTCCATAATTTTAAAGGGTGCCTCGGGACTGTTCATAATTTTAAAGGGTGCCTCGGGACTGTCCATAATTTTAAAGGGTGCCTCGGGGACTGTCCATAATTTGAAAGGGTGCCTCGGGACTGTCCATAATTTGAAAGGGTGCCTCGGGACTGTTCATAATTTGAAAGGGTGCCTCGGGACTGTTCATAATTTGAAAGGGTGCCTCGGGACTGTTCATAATTTGAAAGGGTGCCTCGGGACTGTTCATAATTTTAAAGGGTGCCTCAGGACTGTCCATAATTTTAAAGGGTGCTTTGACTGAAAAAAGTTTGAGAATCACTGTTATAGTGCATTAGTGGTAGGTTGCGGTTTATCAGAATATTATAACCAATCAGAGACTTTCTTCTTCAGTGGCATCTTTGTTGTATGTCATACATGTTCCCCAGCTGTGCAGTAGGCACCCTTCGTTCTGATTGTTTGATCTCGTTCCTCACAGGTGATGTTGGCAGCCTCCTATTGGTCTCTCCTGGCCCCAGCCATTGAGATGTCGGAGCAGTATGGAAGCCTGGCTTTCCTCCCTGCCGCCGTGGGTTTCTCCTTGGGGGCCGGCTTTGTGTATTTTGCAGACCTGCTTTTGCCGGCACTGGTAAGTACAAGTAACTGTTTGCAACTTCTGAAATCCATAGTCCGGTGGAGAACGTGTACACTGGCCTTCCAACACCAAATACCACAACATTCATTGAAGGGCTCAGCACTTCTTTAACATGCTTTCTATGGGAGGTTTGGACACTATGCAAAAAAAAAAAGGGGGCCGGCTCCCTCCAGTGGCTCCACCCCCACACTTAGTCTAGAGCTCAGTTTAGCTTAGTGTTCTGAGGAGGAAGCTCTGCTGGCTCTGGATTTATGGATTGCCACTTTGATTGGCTGTCCTTGCTTGCCCCTCATTTTGCAAATGCTTTTGTAGACTCTGGTATCCTCCAAAGAACACTAGAGGAGAGGGCAGGGGGGAGGAGAGGGCAGGAGGGGGTATAGGGGTTTCACCATTTCATTTCTTCTGAAACGGTGAACTAACATTTTTAATTGAACTAATGTTTTACCTGTTAGGGCAAAACATCAGGTTCACCGTAAACCCCACCCCCACCCCGTAGCATACACGACACTTTCTTTCACAGGCACTTGTTGTTTGTTTACACTGAAGGCTGGCAGGCTACCAAGATTGTGCTCCCATTGGAAATAAGGGGAGGGGGTGCTGTGATTTCAGTGCTTTTTTTGTTCTGAATTGTGAAGATGATTTTATCCTCAATGCCTACAGCTACATAGGTGAATGGAGGCGTTTTCAGGGAGCTTTACTGCTTGTTTGAAATACATAAAAACATTAACCTGTATAATCTGAGAACAGGTGCACTTTAAGCCGGGAATGCTATTTTTCCTCTCCTTCCCTTGGAATAGACAGATGTCTCCGTGTCACATAGCTTTGCACCGAGACAAAAATATCGCTGTGTTTTTTGCCGCGCGTGATTAGATTTGCAATCAGTCATGCGTATACCCCACCGATGTTTATTACTATTGCCATTATTAGTCTTGACAACATCAAATTTTTGCTGTGGATAAGGAATGCCTCCTCAAGAAGGCTTGACAGGTTATTTTTATGATCTTTTTCTGCAGTGCATTATTAAAGCTTCTTGTAATTTTCCTCCTGCTTGGCTTTCGGCTGCAACAGCGCACAATGCTGGATGGCAGCCATCTTGGTGGGGAACATCAAATACAGAGAAAGGTGTCTTTAACTCAGTCCATATTTATCATTGAGCCTCAGGCAGCCAGGGATAAAGGTGCCAAAAAGCACAACTCTTCTTACCTGTGTTTATCTTTCCGGTTTTTGGTGACTGTTGGACACAGGCTGCTTGGAGTAGTCATGTGACTCTCAGAAAACCTGGCCATACTCATCACAATCTAATTGAGCAGTCGCTGCAAAATCTCCTTTAGATTTTCCAAAACAATACTGTATGGTCACCTTTATGAGCTTGTTGAACATTCTATTACAGAACCATGGCCATTAATAGGGAGTTGGCACCCTTTCACGTTATAACAGCCTCCACTCCTCTGGGAAGAGCATGTCTTTTGGAATTTGTGCTCATTTGTGAGGTCAGGTATTGATGTTGGATGAGAAGACCTGGTTCACCATTGGCCTTCCAATTCATCTCAAACGTGTTCATTAGGGTTGAGGTCAGGGACACGTGAGTTCCTACACCCATCACACCTGTATGAGCTTGTTGGACATCCCAATCCAAAATCATGGCCATTAATATGGAGTTGCCCCCCTTTCACCTTGGTCATTAATATAAAGTTGCACTGCTTTGTGGCTATACCATCCTCCGCTCTTCTGGAAAGACTTTCAACAAGATGTTGGTGTGTGTACATTTGTGAGGTCAGGTACTAGTTTGGGTAATCCAGCCTCACATTGGGCACCAATAAAGAAAAAACAAAGGATCTGGCTCGCAACTGGCATTCAAATTCATCCCAAATGCGTTCATTAGGTTGGAGGTCAGGGCTTTGTGCAGGACACTTAAGTTCCTCCACAGCAAACTGGTCAAATCAGGTCTTAATGGAGCTGGCTTTGTACACAGGCTCTTAGTCATGCTGGAACAGAAAATAGTCTTCACCCAACTGTTACCACAGGGTTGAGTTGTTATACATCCTATTCCAAAAGCATGGCCATCAATATGAAGCTACCTCAACGTTGTGGCTATAACATCTTCCACTGCACTCCTCTTGGAAGACCTTCCACAAAAGAGGGCATGTTTTGAGAGTTTGTACCATTTGTGAGGTTGGATGAGAAGACCTGGCTAACACATTGGGCTTCATGTTGTGCACCAAAAATGTCTTTATGGATCTGGCTTTGTACACAGGACACCGTTATGGTGGAACAGAAAAGGGTCTTCACCAAACAGTAACCACAAGGTTGGAAGAGCACAGTTGTCTGCCATGTCTTTGTATGATGTAGTATGAGCCTGAAAGCCCAAATCGGAAGTTGGAGAAGACCTGGCTCACCATTGGCATTCTAAACTATTCCAAAGGTGTTCAGTAGCGTTGAAGTCCGGTATTGATACTGGATGACTAGGCCTAACTCGCCATCAGTGTTCCGATTCATCCCAAAGGTACTTCTCTTTTAATATGAAGTTGCCCCAACTTTGTGGCTATAACATCTTCCACTCCACTCATCTTGGAAGACCTTTCACAAAATTTTGTAGGATGTCTTTGGGAATTTGAACCATTTGTGAGGTAAGATACTGATGTTGGATGAGAAGACCTAGCTCATACATTGGGCCTCATGTTGGGCACCAAAAATAAGACCTGGCTCACAATCAGAGTTCCAATTCATCCCAAAGGTGTTCAGTAGGGTTGAGGTCAGACCTTTGTACAGGATATTCCAGTTCCTCCACACCAAACTGGTCAAACCATGTCTATGGAGCTGGCTATGTACACAGGGTTACAGTCATGGGGGAACAGAAAAGGGTCTTCACCAATACTATTACCACAAGGTTGGAGGAGCACAGATGTCTACAATGTCTTTGTATGATGGAATAGTAACATTTCCGTTCACTGGAGACATGAACTCCATCATTTAGAGGAGTGTCTACATCCTTTGGGACAAATAGTGTTCAATAGGGTTGAAGTCAAGTACGTATGTTGGATGACAAGATCTGGCTCATTATTGATGTTCCAATTCATCCCAGAGGTGTTCAGTAGGGTTGAGGTCAGGGTTCTGTGGAGGACACTCTAGTTCCTCCACACCAAACTGGTCAAACCATGTCTTTATGGAGCTGGCTAAGTACACAGAGTTACCGTCATTGGGGAACAGAAAAGTGTCTTCGCCCCAAACGGTTTCCACAAGGTTGGAAGAGCACAACTGTCTACAATTTCTTTGTATGACGTTAAAGTCTAACTCTTTCCGTTTATGCAGAATCCAGGCAGGTGGCACAAACGTCATTCTTGCCTAGGCAAGAAATGCGGAAATGCTGCTTTGCTGGTGATCCTGTCCTATTTCAACACACATGACGCAGACATGGTCCACCGTTGTCACCAGCCGGAAACTTGCTCTGAGAAAAGTTATGGCGCCATCACTGGTGTGCATGTAGACAGTAAGTGGTTGCAGGAGATCAGCAGCACTGAGATGTAACACGGGGATGAAAAGAAAAGGATTTCAGTTAATAAAAGAAAACGTTAATTATTCAAACTGTATTGTGGGGGGAGGGGGGTGAGCAATTAAATAGGACAGAGGAGACACTATAGCCAGGAATTTTGTTCCATTTATTATTTGGCATTAATGGTTTGACAGGAAGATTAATCTTTCCAGCTTTACGCAATTCATAAAAAAAAAAAAAAAAAAGGTCAGACATCTCCCTGCCACACGGGCCCATCAACATGTCGTCAGCAGGCAATAAAGGGCTGACGACCGCGGCCCCCTGACTCCCGTGCGCTGTTGACACTTGCTGCGGGCAGTGCTGGTGTGGGAAACGTCGAAGGGCGACTGGGAGAACGACGTTGCTATGCAACCAGACCGGAGAGGCGGCTGCCTGATATCAGAGAGCTCTCCGCGCGCTAACTACACTTGACAGGCCATAAGACCCGGGAGGATCGATTAACACTTCACGCAGCCAGAAGGGCTTTGTTTGAGGAGCGGCGCTATAGAACGAGCGTCTGCGGTCATCATCGACCGCCCGCTTCATCCGCCCGCCAAACTGAAATGGACAATTCCCCTGGACTGTATGCAATGTGTGTGTGTGTATATATGTATGTATATATATATATATATATATATATACACAATATCTCCCAGAAGTAAGTCCCCCCTCACATTTGTGTCAATATTTGATTCTCTCTTTCCATGTGACAACACTGAAGAAATGACACTTTGCTACAATGTGACGTAGTCAGTGTACAGCTTGTATAACGTGGAAATTTGCTGTGTCCCCTCAAAATAACTCAACACACCGCCATTAATGTCTAAACCGCCGGCAACAAAAGTGACTCCACCCCTAAGTGACAAGGTCCAAATTGGGCCCAATCAGCCATTTTCCCTCCCCGGGGTCATGTGACTCGTTAGTGTTACAAGGTCTCAGGTGTGAATGGGGAGCGGGGGGGTTACATTTGGTATTATCGCTCTCACTCTCGCGTACTGGTCACTGGAAGTTCAACATGGCACCTCATGGCAAAGAACTGTCTGAG